ATCTTATCCGTACTCTAGCCATTCTGGTTGTGTCTGGCTGCTCTCCAAGCTGGCCTGTTACCCAGACATATTTCTTTCCTCATAAGAAATACATTGAAATCCCAAAAACATATGCTTCTGACTGCTAGGAGAATTTTACTGGGGAGAGATTAATGTCACTGCTTTTGTTTGAGAAAATATAATTGGGCACAGTTACATACATGTGGCTTATGTAAGAAATATGGCCTGCTTTATAACTCATTATAAGTTTATTTTTACTTTTAAAAGTGAAACTACAATGAATCAAAAAGGTACTTGCTTCCTCCACTCCTGATATTCTAGAATAATTGGACTGGAACAATCCCCCTTTGTGTGAGGTCAATAGCTAGGTATGGATTTGGGCTGATGGAAAAGCAGCTAATCAGGGGATTGCAGCTGGCAGGGTGAGCTGATAAAGCCAAACCTACCTGACAATGAAACAGGGCAGAGGACTAGGCAAGTGTGAGGACCAGCAGTAAGTCTGTGACTTCACAACCTCACAGGAAACAGAAAGGAGCCCCACTGGTCAGAAAGTCAGCTCGAGAACTTCCATTATCTCTATGTTACCCAAGGCCAGGCTTTACTCTGAGTAAGATGGTCAACAGGACTGACTGGAGCAAAGTGCTGTCTCTCAAACTTCCTTCTCACCTTTACTTGCGTTCACATCTTGCCTGACTTCTCTTGTCAGATGTGAAGGCCAAGGCTGCTTAGGTGCCCTACACTTTCTGGTAACATATTTGGTACATTAGCCAAGAAGTTAGGAATTAAATATGTCTTTTCTTGAATTGGACTCATGGAAAGATATAATACCAACAATATCATGTACATCAACAAGATATTATCAAATGGTATGTGAGACAACTTATATTTGACCTGTTAAGTTTTAAAGAGAAAAATGCTTATTAGCTTAAAAATCTCTGAAATAAAAAAATATTCTAATTCCCAACTACAATAGTTTCTTCAGATATTGCCATTATACCATGATTGTTTTTCTCAAGTGTTTTGTGTAAAATAATATAGTCAAAATGATCTTCACATCTTTCTTTTAGTTCTAAAGAAAAATGTAACTAAATGCACTTAAATTTTAGTTGAGTTTAGATCAACAGGGTTATGTTCTTAAGACTTGTCGGTCATGGGGCTTGAACTCTGGGCCTGAGAGCTAGCTGTTCCTCAGCTCTTCAGCTCAAGGCTAGTGCTCTAACACTTGCACCTCAATGTCACTTTAGGTTTTCTAGTGGTTTATTGGAAATAAGAGTTTCACGGACTTTCCTGCCCAAGCTGGCTTTTAACCATGATCCTCATATCTCAGCCTCTTGAGTAGCTAGGATTAGAGGCGTGCACCACCGGTGCTCGGCGTTCTTAAGACTTTGTGACTCAAATAGTTTAATTCCTTAGAAAGGTAAAGCTGAAGTATAGCAAAATAAAACACCAGGAAGTGAGTACTTGCAAGAAAGAGGTGGGGTGGGACCAAGGGTGAAGGGGTGGGCAAATGAAATGGAGAAGAGGGGAGAATGCAGTCAAGAATCCAGTTTATATTCTACAGAATTAAGTTGGTGGGTAGTGGAGGAATGGGTGAGAATATTGACATGGCTGACATTAATCAAAGACATACAGTATTCAAAACTGCTTTCTTACAAGACAGCTCCTTTGTACAACTACTTAACAATAATTTAACCACAGTAGAAAAAAAATGTGTGATTTGGTCAGGTATTGGTAGCTTAAGCTTATAATCAATCCTATTTAGGAGGCTGAGATCTGAGGATTGAGATTCAAAGCCAGCCAGGTCAGAGAAGTCTGTGAGACTCTTAGCTTCAATTAACTAGCCAAAAGCTGGAAGTGGAGGTGTGGCTCAAATAGATTGCCAGCCTTGAGTAAAAAAACCAAACCAAGCCAAACCACAACAATAACAAAAAACACCTAATAGCAGCTAGGCCCTGAATTCAAGCCCCACCACCAATAAAACAAAAGAAGAATTGTCATCACTTGATAGTACTGGCTCTTTAGGTTTTCCTCTAATGGGTCACATCAAGCCCCTACCAGTTCTTTACAGAATGAGTCACACATTTTTTTTTTCTGTAAAGTTTCATTTCTCCTGTTTATTTCAAGATTTCAATTTCAGAATTGTAGCAATGCATCAAGAAGAGCCTGGAGACACACTGTTATTACACCCGCCACAGGCCCTCTGGAGTTAGGTTTGTTCTCTATCATAAATAAATAAATAAATACCTAAAAGCATTGTTCATAGGGTAAGATCAAATCTTACATACCTCCATAGCCCAAACATTACATTCCTGACATTTTGGGCATTTAAATGTAAACTGTGCTCTTTGTTAGGACCTCCTCATAACTAAAATATGAGTCACTTACAAAACCATAATAGATTTTGGCCGTGCTGCATGATGAAGTGTTTTGGATACAGTGCAACATTTCACCCAGACTCATGGCAGCAGAATTCCCATAGTCACCCCAAATAGGGAAAGAAATGAAGAACACAACTCAAAGAAATATGTAGACGCTGGCAGAGCTCGCTCACAGAACTCCAGCTCGGCACTGTTGTTAAGAAATCTGATTACTTGGAGCATAAGCCCTCACATTAGAGTGTAAATAAGTGTTGAATTTGCATATGTGTGTGTATCCAGATTTAACGCTATCCTTGACATTTTAAATTAGGTCATGCTCAGATTCCATGAAATGAAATTATGTAGCTAGTTCACACACACACACACACACACACACACACACACACACACACACACACACGTGAATGTAGAGCCAGGAGCTACTGGCTCACTCTGTAATCCTAGCTACTCAAGAGACTGAGATCTGAGGATGGCAATTCAAAGCCAGCCTGGGCAGCAAAGCTGAAGAGTCTTTTACCTCCAATTAACCAGCAAAAGCCAGCAGTGAAGCTATGGCTCAAGTGGTAGAGTGAAAAAGTTAAGATATAGTGCCAAGGTTCCTGAATTCAAGCCACCAATATCCACATAAAAAATCAAAACCAAACCCAGAAAGGAATGTAGAATGCCAAAGTTTCTGCTGGTGCTTAGATCTTTTGTCATATAATTACAGTATCTGTGGATTTTGACATACATTTGGTATGAAAAGTGAAAAGATGTGTGTGTATGTGTGTGTGTGTGTGTGTGTGTGTGTGTGTGTGTGTGTGTTCTGGTCCTGAGACTTGAACTCAGGGCCTGGGTCTTGTTCCTGAGATTGAGATTTTTGGTCAAGACTTGCACTCTCCTACTAATAAGCCACAGCTCCACCTATGGCTTTTCACTAGTTAATGGGAGATACAAGTTGCATGGACTTTTCTGCCCAGGCTTGCTTTGAACCAAGATCCTCAGATCTCTCACTCTTGAGTAGCTATGATGACAGGTGCTAGTCTGATATGGAGATATTTGTTATGGAAGTTTATATTAAATGTATTAAACCCATTGAATTGAGTAAATTAGGTAGTCTTTAGCTTCCTTTAAAGAGAGATCTTGTGAAGGCATTTTAGATCTGCCATTTTACTTCTACCTATCACTGTTTACTTGAAGCTCTGTCTCCTTACATCCCTCTCAGTGTTTTCTAGTGACGCTGACTGTGTGACGTAGAAGTTGAAGGTCAGATCACTGAGCCCTTTCCTGCACACTTGCCTGGACTTGGAATGTCTCCAGCAAGGAGCCTGTGTCTGGGGGTTCCCAGGCCTGCCTCATTTTAGGCAGGAAAGGTGGAGTTTTCCTCTCCTGGGCCAGGGGAAGGGAGAGAGAAGTCCTGGGCTATGCTAGTCCTGGTATAGACTGCAATCATATCTGTTCACTTGAGTCCTTATGCAGAAAAAGAAATGCATGTTTCCAGTGTCCCTGGAGACTCTGTCCCTCACTGAATTTGTGTAGTATTTACCCCATATAAACACAGGCATTTGGTCAAGCCCTGGGGAGTGGCTTAGGAGTTTGATGCCGGCCTGGAGGAGCTGTTATTTTATCATAAGCCTTCCTGTAGTGACATCAGTTTTGGAAGTCATGAATGAAGATACTGTAATCTCTTCAGTAGGCTAAAAACAACAACATTTAAGCAGAATTATAGCTTCTACAAGCCAGAAAAGTAGTGTGAATCTACAGTTAATCCCAGTAACTGAGATTACAGGTGTGTGCTGCCCAACCTACATATCTATTTTTCATATAGGCGGGTTAAATTTTGTAATTAGTATAAAGTGGTGGACAGAGAGATGATGAGGAGGCATGTATAGCTTTGTTTCTCCAGAAGTTGAATATTGACTTGAAAAAAATTGGAGGATTTCTTTTCTTTTATCTTACTTTCTTTCCTTTCCTCCCTTCCCTTCCCTCCCCTGCCCCTTCCAATCCTTTTCCTTTCTTTTCCCTTTCTCTTTCCGTTTTATTTTCTTTTCATGTCAGTCCTGGAACATGGACTCAGGGCCTGGGCACTGTCCCTTAGATTATTTTACTTAAGACTCGTGCTCCACCACTTGAGCCATACCTCCACTTCCAATTTTTCTTTCTTTCTGGTTAATTGAAGCAAAGAATCCCATGGACTTTCCTGCTGGGGACTAGCGTTAACCGCGATCCTCAGTGTTCAGCTTCCTGAGCAGCCGTTATTTAGAGATGTAAATCACTGGGGCTGGGCTGGAGGCTTTCTTCTTATGGGAACACGAGTGACTTTTCAGTTGTCAATCAGTAAACATTTCAGGAAGGAATTGTTCCTGTCTGGACGCGCGGGCCAGCGGGTTTCATGCGGTCAGGCCACCTTAGTCTTGGTCCTCTCCATTGTGGAATGACTGAGTTGATCGGTAGAACTTTCTAGTACACATTGCTCAGGGATTGTTTAGAATGCGCTTCTCTGGGCGGGCCGCGCGGTCCTCCCTGGGCTTTGTGTTTGCCCTGGTGAGGGCGTGGAGCCCGGCTTCCTCCCGTTACCCCGTGGCGGGTCTCCCGCAGCACTTCCACCCGAGCCTCACGCGGGCTTCTCCTCTCGTCCCGCAGGTGGAAATCACGCTGCAGGACATCAACGACAACCCGCCGGTGTTCCCCGCGGACACGCTGGACCTGACGGTGGAGGAGAACGTGGGCGACGGCGCCAGGATCCTGCAGCTCAGCGCCATGGATGCCGATGAGGTGCGCTCGTGGAGTGCGAGGTCTTCCCGACCCGGCACCGCGTGGGGGCTCAGGCCACGCGGAGACTCGCGCTCCCAGAACGTTCGAGTGTGTGAGGTGACCCAGGAATGGCAAGCAGCTGCCCTCCCACCAACAGCCACGGCCCCGTCCATCGCTGCTCACGGGTCACACTCACTAGCCACACAGTTTCAAGGGCCTAAACAGGACAGCTGCCTACGGATAGACGTCTGTTTTATGGCTTTATTGTTCCGACTTGTGACCTTCTGGCAGTAACGATTGCTTCTGCTGCCTTTGAAATTGTAGAAAAGCAGGTCACTTAACATGACGAATATCGAAGTTGGCCTTCAAATGTTATTTAATTGTCATGTGTGTATATAATGCACATGAATTTAAAAATTATTGAAGATACAGTAAGAATATTATCCAGCCAAGGTCACGATTTTTTCCAGTTGTTTACTGAACAGACATTTTATGATTAACGGTGAATTTGAGGGCAAAATTTAGGTCATTATCTCCTACAATTATATTTTAGTGGCATGATAATGTATATAATTTGTCATTTTTTGGCATTTTAAATACTTCAAGAGAATTGTGTGTGTGTGTGTGTGTGTGTGTGTGTGTGTGTGTGTGTGTGTGTGTGCCAGTACTGGGATTTGAACTCAGAGCCTAAGCTCTGTCTCTTACCTTTTTCACTCAAGGCTGGTGCTCTACCACTTGAGCCATAGCTTGACCTCTGGCTTTTTGTGGAGAAGAAAATCTCATGGCTTATAATTGTGATCTTTAGATCTTAGCCTCCTGAATAGGATTATAGTTGTGAGCCACCTGGCTATTTTACATTCTTTTTATTGGGTAAATTCATGTTCTGAAGTTGAGAAAAGGGGAAATGCCTTCTCAGACAGCACTAGTAACTTTGCATGACCCTCTGTAACACAAGCCTGACATAGAATAAGCAATTTCCTTTCCTCACCCTCATCTGAACTTCAGCAATAACTAAACATTTGATTTTTGTCTTCTGAGAAAACTCTTCATAGGTTTGTTTCTTTAACTTTATAAAGGTGATCAAATAAACAGCTGTCTACTCTTAACAGCCAATTCAAAACCCTAATGACTTAGACATTACAAATTTTGCAAAATCTACCTAGTAAAAGGGAACAGAATAAAGTATATTTAAATAAATTTAGTTGTCTACTAGCATAGGTTTGATGTTTTAACTTTAATAATTTCTGTGCAATTTTATGTAGAGAAAAGTTCACATTTATTCCATATGGCTATTATTGACAGTTATATGACTGAACATTTGTATTATTGATACAGGAGCTCTATCAATAATGGATCAGTAAATATAAGTATAGACTAGTAAAAATGTTTCTTAAAGCTTGCCATTGCTAAAATACATTTGTTTATATCAATTTATAAAATGTCACTAATGGTGACTTGCATATAACAATAATAACAATAAAAATCTCATTTGATGGACATAAAACAGTGCACATAAAATAATTATAATTGCAATAGTTATTTTACTGGTTCTACTCTGTAGGAAGGGAGCAGAAACTTCTCTTTACTCTATGGAATATTATAATTAAAGTGGGATTATTCAATATGCAGTAAAACTGTACTTGAAAATTTAGTTGTTTTAATTATCATGCTGTTCTCTCTCTGTCTCTCTGTCTCTCCATCTCTGTCTCTGTCTTTCTCTTTCTCTTTCTCTCTGTCTCTCTAGGTACTAGGGCTTGAATTCCTTGTACCCTTACTTGTATTTTTCCCTCATAGCTGGTTCTCTATCACTTGAGCCACAACTCCACTTCTGGCTTTGTTGGTTAATTAGAGATAACAGTCCCATGTTTTATCTGCCTGGGCTGATTCTGAAACTTGATCTTCTGGTCTGTCTCCTGAGTGGCTAGGATTACAAATATAAGCCAATTGTATCCCGGTAATGAAATTATTTAAAACACTAAAGTTATATATGTCATCAACCAATTATCTGTTGATACCTCTTTTATTATTTATATGCTTTTCCTTAATGACTTGACATGGAGTGTTAGAGAATAACGTCTGGGTTAAGAATAAATCAGTTTCAGAAGCCACATGTATGTGTTGAACTTAATTTAAGCAGCATTTGAGGCTGGAAGCTGGCGCTCACACCAGTACTTCTAAAGCTATGCAGGAAGCTGAGATGTTTAGGTTGAGGTATTAAGACCGGGGGCAGGGGGTGGGGGGAGATGGTTCAGACAAAGGCCAGAGACTCATATTTTTAGTTAGCCAGCAATAGCTGGACTAGAGGTTTGGCTAAAGTGGCAGAGCACCAGAATTGAGGATAAAAGCCCTGTGAGAGATCCAATCCCTGAATTCAAGTCCCAGTATTGGTATGCACATGTATGTACAGCATACACACACACACACACACACACACACACACACACACACAAATACACACATATATACCCCACATGTATACCCACCCACCACATACACCACACACACACACACACACACACACACATACCACACACACATACACACTGATGTATACCACACACACATACACCATACACATATACACACACCACACACATATGTACAACACATATACATAGAGCATACACATACACACCATAGACACTACACACCACATATACACACCATACACACCATACATACATACGCATACCACACCACATACACACCACACACACACACACACACACACACACACACACACACACACACAAATACCATTTGAACTGTGTTGAATCAAGCAGTTCTTAGATATTTGCTTCTAAGAACTCCTTCTTGGTGTGTGTGAGTGTGTCTCCTCTGGAGAGTAAAATGTTTCTCTTCAGTATTATTTTCACTGCAGCTGACACATCATATTTATTTCTTGGGCTGCAGATGTAGCAAGCTCAGTGTATTTAATAAATAGACTTTTCAAAAGTTCTAATGAAATCATTATTCTTGGCAAGACATTTTGTTATATTCACCTGGGGTACTAATTCACCACCTCAGCTGATTTTGAATATGAAAAAATGGCTTTCTAAAAAATCAGTGTAGTCTTATGCTTTTCTTCTTTGCACAATTGTCATAACTTTCAAATTGGACCTTTGAAAATATCAAAGAAATTCTGTAATATTTCAAATTTTTGTTTCTTTGCTTTCTCCCAATTTCCAAGGCTGTATCATGTGAACAGATAAAAATTGAATATAGCATCCGTCATACCTGAGCTTTGCTAGAATATTCTAATAATAATAATAATAATATTCCTAGCAGATTAAAATAGTAGATACTAGGAATTGCAAATTGATGTTGGATGGTTTTGTTAAGCCATAAAATTACAATAAAAATGTTAGAGAGTCATGTACACCTGAGTATACAAGATAAACGTGGGCAGTGTGTTAAAGTCAGCTATTTCATTATTAAATTAAAATAGTTGGGAGGCTTTCACTTTATTAAATTTAAAAATTGGCTTTGAGAAAGCAGAATAAAAAGATTGCAAATGTCACTCCTTATAAATTTGAAAGAAGGAATATTTTTGCCTTGGACTATTAGAAGTCATTCCCTTATGTACTTGAACATAAAAGAAACAAAAAGGACAAGTGATGGGTGATAGCAAAGCCCTGAAGTTGTGCATGTGTTAATCCAGCATAATTAGTCTTTTGAGATTTACTATTCTGAGTGCATTAATAAACTTCTTTAAGCTAATTATGGAAAAAGTACAAACGTGGCTTAGATAAAATATAGTTAGATCAAAAGGCAATTTCTCAAGTCTAAAGCTCCAAAATTACTTGGACCTCAATGTCAAGATCAATAATTTATAAGTGAAATTGGAGTTTGTAGCCTCAGTCCAGGACCCTGATGGTCAGGCCTAGCCCCTGGCCTCCTACAGGCCAAATCAAGAGGCCTAGTGAGAGGCAGAGATTTACTACATGGCAGCTGTAGGAAGAAAGCACTTTAGTATATCTTCAGCCATCTTCAGGAAAATTACACCCGCTTAAACAGGCATGGAAGGTGGGGTGGGCAGGGAGTGAGTGATGGAAGCAGTGAAGAGTCTTCCCCTGACAGGCAGGGCCTGGCTGTCACCTCAGCTCTTGTATGGGGAAAGCTCCCACAGGAGTTGTTACAGTCAGAATACATAAGTGATTATTGCTGGTGATCTGTCCTGTGGGGGCTTGATGCCCTCTTAGTAGTAGTTCAAATCCCCCTAAAAGATGTGATTGATCAGCGATAAGTTCTGCCCTTTCAAGATGATTGCAAAGTGACTGAGGAGAGACTGGTTCAGGACTCTGCACACAGGTACAAAAGGAGGCACCTGGGGTGTGGAGCCATTATCCTGCTGCTGGTTAATTTGTGGGCCCATGCCAGGAGTCAGTGCTTCTCAGTAGAAAGTAGCTGTTAAAGGGTTTCTTATAACTGGGTACCCCAAAACCATATTTTCCTAGGGATTCAAGGAAGCTCTTACCTTATTCTCATTTGGAAGCTGTCAAATGTTTCTCTTCTAAGAATAATAGTAAAAAGTTAACATAGCTCTATACTCTCTCTTGAAGGCTTTTTGAATATATATATATGTATGTATATATATATATATATATATATATATAGGTATATATGTATCTATATAATTTTTTTGCCGGTCCTGGGGCTTGCACTCAGGGCTTGGGCACTGTCCCTGAGCTTCTTTTGCTCAAGGCTAGCACTCTACCACTTGAGTCACGGTGCCACTTCTGGCCTTTTCTTTTTATGTGTTACTGAGGCATTGAACCCAGGACTTCATGCATGCTAGGCAAGCACTCTACCACCAAGCCATATTCTCAGCCCCTCAATGTAAGTTTTTAGCATGCATTAATTAAATCTTAACTACAACCCTATTTGGTTTTAATCAAGGAACATCGGTAAAACCTGTATTCAAAAGCCATAAAAGTAATTAATGGAATAGTCTACCCTAAAAATAAGGCCCACAAGATTATATTTCAACCAACACAGTGAATGTTTAATTTTAGTCATAATTTACATACATGATGCCTATATGTAGTTGTTTTGCAATTACAAGAAGAAAGTGATTTGTTGCTGAGTGCCTATAATCCTAGCTACTCAGGAGGCTGAGAACTGAGGATCATGGTTGAAAGCCAGCCGAGGTAGAAAAGTCTGAGATTCTTGGGTCCATTTTACCGGCAAAAAGCCAGAAATAGAGATGTGGATCAAGTGATAGGGCCCCAGCAAACAAAGCCAAATGGGATTGCAACTCTGAGTTCAAGCTCCAGTACTGGTAGAGAGAGAGAGAGAGAGACAGAGACAGAGACAGAAACAGAGAGACAGAGACAGAGAGAGAGACAGAGACAGAGACAGAGACAGAGAGACAGAGACAGAGAGACAGAGACAGAGACAGAGAGAGCGAATGAAAGAAATTTAATACTCTAAAACATGGTGAAATTACTGTCCTTCATGACCTTCTATTTCTCCCTAGTTTCTTTATCATTGCTACATCTGAGGGCACTCTGAGCCTTCTGGTACCTTCTTTGAGGCTATTTCCTTGGTCACCCTTCCTGCATCTGTCTCTGTTTCTGCGTCTCCCATTCTTCAAATATCAATAATAATCTTCATGCTTAGGTCGTTTCTTGCCTTTTCTCTTTATTTACATTTTCTTTCTTTTTTGTGGGGGGGTCCGGTCATGGGGCCCGAACTCTGGGTCTGGGCGCTGTCCCTCAGCTCTTCAGCTCAAGGCTAGCACTCTACCACTTGAGCCACAGCGCCACTTCTGGCTTTTTTCTTTTTGCTTATGTGGTGCTGAGGAATCGAACCCAGGGCCTCATGCATGCAAGGCAAGCGCTCTACCACTGAGCCACCTTCCCAGCCCCTTTATTTACATTTTCAATAACACTTGTGAATGGAGCAGACACCTCCATACACACCTTCAGATAATTTTCTCAAGTAACCGTCCCACATCTGAAATTCCTAGACAGTCATTTCTTTGGCATTGTCCTTCGAACACAGAACAGACAGCAGATAAAATTTTCCTTGGTAATTTCTTTTGTATCCAAGCATGTCCTTCTTCTCTGTGTTCCTCAATAAGTATCTTCTCCAAATTCATGACATAGTAATTCCAAACTTAAATGGGTTCCTTTCTTTTCTTTCACTTCATCATACCTGATTGTTCAAGAATATTTATGAAAATCTACACATATGATTATTAGTTACTTCTGTATCTAATTATGTTTTAGTGTTACCAATTTGTCCTCTGACTCCTGCTGGTTCACACAGATTCATATTCTGAATTCCAAAGGGACAGAGCCAGGATTTGATCCCTGCATCTAAGTCACTTACCATCAAGATGGCCATGGAAATGATGTTTAGCTCACTGAGCGCCTGGAAGGTTGAATTTATTAATCCCCTTGAAGTGATGTAATCAGGCAGGTCTAGAACTCAAGGAAACGCCTAATGAATGCTCTGTGACCTTTCTCCTCCCTCTACAGCCTTTCTAGCTTGTAGCTTGTAGTTTTTGGGGCTCATATCTCAAGGACCTGGGAAAATGGAAGAACTTACCTCTGTTTCATCCCACAGAATAGGGGCTTATAATCTGTTTCTTTAATGCACTTTGGAATTACAGAGCCCCAAATCTCTTTTAGATACAAGTTCTGCTCATCACCTCTTTCCTCTAGCTCCTGTGAAGTCAATAATAATGATAGTCTTAAAAGCTTACTTCCAGCTAAAATGCTATGAAGGTTTTGTGTCGGCAGCATGCAAGCCATTTGGGTTACATTTGAGATTGTGCAGAATATTTCCATAATTTAATAGTTTAGTTTGATTTCTTGTCATGGATTAAAAATCTGCACTAAAAGCACATCAAAGTAAGAAAACCAAGCACCTCTCTCTGCACATTCATGCATACCGGACTCATTCTCCATAGTCTACAGTGACCAGAAAGTCCCTTCTACAAAACCCAGCCACCTCTTCATTCCATTAGGTTCCCTAAAATAAATAACTCAGCATGACCTCTCTCTTAGCTACTTCCTTCCCTGCCCATCGAAGACTCTCCATTTGTCCAGCAGGTTAATTTCCCTTTCCTGAGTATACAAGATGACTTTGGCAGGTATAGGCTTGAAATCCATACACTTGGAGTAGGATTGTGTGTAATTAACTAGTGTCTCAATTTTAAAAGGAATCTACTGGGGGTGTGAATGCTCATGTCCCTGACTTTCTTCTGCTTGTCCAGAGACAACCATAGTATGTGTGTGTGTGTGTGTGTGTGTGTGTGTGTGTGTGTGTGTGTGTGTGTGTGTGTGTTGTGCCAGTTATAGGCTTGAACTCAGGGCCTCCTGCTTTCACTTTCCTTTTTCACTCAAGGCTGGAACTCTACCACTTGAGCCACACCTCTACTTCCACATTTTTGCTGGCTAATTAGAGATAAGAATCTCATAGTCTTTTCTACCTGGGTTAACCTTGAACCTTGTTTCCCAAATCTCAGCCTCTCAAGTGGCTAGGATTACTGGTGTCAGCCACAAACAACCAACTTCTGTTGGCCTATTCTATACCTTGTTTGGAAAAATGTCTATTTGAGCCCACTTCCTTTTGTAATTAGATTGTTAGATTTTTATTTCTTGCTCATATAGTTTAGAAATTAACCTTTTATCAGATATATCAACTTTAAAAATACTACCCTCATTCCATGATTTACCTTTTAATTTTCTTTGCTTTTTACATTGCAGAAACTTTGTATCTTGCTATTGTCACTTGTCTCTTCTTTGTTTTTGTTGCCTGTGCTGGTCAGAGCCATGAAATCACTGCCAAGTCCCCTGTGGCTGGGGAAGCAGGCTTTCTCTTATTTTTCCTGCTAGAGTATATAGTTTCAGGTCTTCTGTTGAAGTGTTTAAGCCATTTGGAATTGATTTTTATGTCAACATTTTTATACGTATATATATTTTTACTAACTCTTTTTGAAAAGACTATTTCTTAGCCACTGTGCATTCTTAGCATCCTTGTCAAAGCTCAGTTGACTTTTAGGCATGAGTTTATTTCTTGGCTTTCTAGTCAGCTCAATTGGTGGAACTATCTGACGATGCTGGTAGTATATTGCTTTAAATACTGTAGCTTTGTGTCTATTTTGAAATCAATAACTGATTTTAAAATACTTAGAATTCTTTTTTCTTTCTGAACATTGTTTCATCTACTTTGAAGTCTTTTTTGAATCCATATGAATTAAAAATTCTCATCACTATAAAAAATGCCTTTCAAGCCAAGTGCCACTTATTCACATTTATGTAAAGTTACTCTGAGAATCATAGTTCGAAGCCAGCCATGGCAGCCATGGCTGTGAGACTCTTATCTCCAATTAACCAGCAAAAAGCTAGAAGTGGAAATGTGGTTAAAGTGGCAGAGCATTAGCCTTGAGGCAAAAAAAGCTAAATGAGAGCTGGAGACAGCAAGTTCAAGTCCAAGCACCACCCCCACACACACACACGTGGACACACATATATCATTAGCATTTTGATAAAGATTGAAATGAATTTGTAGATTCCTTTGGGTACTATAAACATTTTAACAACATTATGTTACAAATATATTTCTATTTCTTTGACTCTTTTGTAATTTCTTTCACTGGTGTTTATAAATTTTCAGTGTACAAACTGGCATGTTCTTTAAGTTTTCCTTTTGAAGTCTGATTATATCCTATGAAATGAAAGCCTCAACCTCACTTGGTCAACAATATGGTAGAGGAAATGAGAGAAACAATGGTCCAACTGTTCTGCTTCTCCTGCTCAGATGCCTGGTGTTTTTGTTTTGTTTTGTTTTGTTTTTGGCCACAGGGTGCCAATGCTGTGGTCACATACGCTATTATTAGTGGAGCTGATGATAGCTTCCGCCTCGACCCTGAATCTGGAGACCTCATAGCCACCAAGAGGCTGGACAGGGAGCGCCGTTCCAAGTACTCCCTGCTGGTGCGAGCTGATGACGGGCTGCAGTCCTCAGACATGAGGATCAATATCACCATCAGCGACGTGAATGACCACACGCCCAAGTTCTCCCGGCCCGTGTATTCTTTTGACATCCCAGAAGACACTAGTCCTGGTAGGTGACCTGCCTGTCCTTCAGGCCACTTTGTTAACAGTTTTCTTTGGCAATAATCATGGGACATACTAATTAGTAACTAGTCTTATTACATTCTACCAGTTATTATATACATACATAATATATTACATATATACCAGTTGCTTTACATATATTACATGTATACTTAATATATCACATATATACTTAATATATCTATACTTAATATATCACATACTTAATATATCACATATATCTGTAATACTATTTATATATATTATATGTTGAATTTTTGAATCTGTTAATTAACTTTTTTTGGTGAAATTAGTGAACAAATTGCTAGGTTCTGGGGGGGTTGTTTGAGAGCAAATGAGGTTAATATTTATCTGATGACTAATTATGATATTTCTGTCCCTAGAAATATTTGTTAGGGTTTTGAGTAACCTGTCTTGATACCCTTAATTTCGGTTCTTAAAACTGATATGATTGTGTTCCTATGTATAGAAATAGCAAATTATGTGGAAGCTCATTTCTGAATTACCAGGAATCAACTGTAGCTGAGTGGCTCAGGGCAAATGGATTAACTTATCATGGCTTGACACACTTGCACTGTTAAAAGCAATCAATAATCCTGGTAGAAGCATTTCTTTAGTTTTCTTGCCTGTGGCTCAAGATAAACAAGTAGTCAAGAAATGTTTTTGGATTCTCACTTGTAACATATTGTACTGTTATTGTACAATCTGAGAACTTAGTATCCTTGTTTCCAGTGTGTGTGTGTGTGTGTGTGTGTGTGTGTGTGTGTGTGTATGTGCGCACACACCTTGGTACCATAACAATAGAGTAGAAAATCTTATCTAAATTTTGAAATATTATTTTGATTTACCTTCGGAATGAGCTTGCATGTTAAGGTATAGGTTTTTGACATTCCATTGACAAAGAAATTGAGCACAGAGAGAACTCTTTTACCCTTGGAATTGTCCATTTGTTTCCAAAAATGAGTTGCTCATGTCTTGTCTGAATTATAACAATAACAAGAGAAACTTTGTGCAATCTGCTCAGCATTTACCTGCATTATTGTGTGAAATCTACAGTTTCTTACAAGACTAATAAGCTTCAATATACAGACACTGAATCAATTTTTAAGTTTATAAATTGGTAGTGTCAATGAAGAGAAGAAGAGTGTGCAAATGCAATCACAATATTCAGGGTACACATGTGAGCATGGAGCCAGGTGACTTGAGGGGAGGGGTGAAGGTGAGAGAGAAGGGGGAGAAGATGGAAGGGGAGACATTGGTCAAGATTCATTGTACTCAGAAACTGATATGTTGAATTAAAATCCCTTTGTACAACTACTTAATGATCATTAAAAGATTAAAAACAATTGGTAGTGCCTAGTGGAAAACAGAAGTAGGATTCATTCTAAAAGACATTTATGGGAAAATCCCAGCCACAGGGTATCTCATATGATACAGGTTTTCAGATATGTGGAAAGGCTGGTGTGGATGACAATGTGGAATTCTGTAGTACTGTGTGAACAGCATCTTCACAGGGTATCTTTCCGATGACTCCATATATTCAGTTAGTAATTTCTCAATTACCCTTGCTCTGTTAATTTTAGTCCATTCGTTTATTCTTCTCAACAGGTTCCTTGGTAGCAGCTATTTTAGCTACTGATGATGACTCCGGTGTGAATGGAGAAATTACATACATTGTGAATGAAGATGATGAAGATGGAATATTTTTTCTGAACCCTGTTACTGGAGTCTTCAATTTGACCAGAGTATTAGATTATGAAGCACAGCAATATTACATCCTCAGTGTTCGTGCAGAAGATGGTGGGGGACAATTTGCTACTGTTAGAGTTTACTTCAACATACTTGATGTCAATGATAACCCACCCGTCTTTAGCCTCAGTTCGTACAGCACCTCCTTGATGGAGAATCTGCCTCCAGGCTCTACTGTCCTGGTGTTTAACGTTACCGATGCAGATGATGGTATGTGATTTACTAAGTATGGCCTAAAAAGTCATCAAAACCTGATACATATATATTCATACATATATATTCATATACATATAGGTGTACATAGATACATATGCACATATATATGCTGAATATACACATATATGTATGTATATATGTACATATAATGTAATAGTGCAATTATATGATATATCATATATTATTACGCTATATAAATATATCTTAATATTAATGATCTATGCAATATATTATATTGTATAATAATATAACAATAGAGGATTTGATTATAATAATTTATGATTAATTACATATTTATTTTTTGCTGGTGGACTGAAGCTTGAACTTAGAGCTTCCTGCTCTTGCTTAGCTTTTCTGTTCAAAGCTAGTGCTCTTCTACTTGAGCCATAACTTCCTTCTAGCTTTTTGTTGGTTCATTGGAGATAGGAGTCTCATGGATTTGTGCGCTTAAGCTGGCTTTGAACCATGATCCTCAGATCTCAGCCTCCTAACTAGCTTATAATCATATGTATGAGCCACCATTGCCCAGAGGTTTGTGTTATATTTAAGTATTTATATATTTATCTATATGTTTATTTGCCCTAACTATTCTGTGGGCACACACACACACACACACACACACACACACACACCTACACACACATAAAATGGGGGAGAAGTGGTATTATAATTTAACTATAAAGAACTTTAAATCTAAATAATTTAAATATTTTCTAATAATGTTACACAATAACCATGTGTATCAATTTGCCAATGTCATATTTTGTTTTCACACTGAATCTATAGCAATATTTCAAGTTAGTAAAGTAGAAGTCATAAACTAAATTTTTGGTAAATTTCACTTACATAAATAAAATTATTTATGCTTGCATAGATTATTTAAACTGGAAAAGAATAAAACTAGGAAGCAAAAGGAAACCATGGGTGTGAGGGCTTGGCTCAAGTTGTAAAGCATACATAAGTAGTATTTGGTCTTGGGTACTGGGGATTGAACTCATAGCCTTGCACTTGCTAGGTAAGTGCTCTACCACTAGAGTGAACCTCCACCCTAAATTATATAGTATTAATACAAAATTATAGTAATATTTTATGTAGAAGAGAGGCTTCAGATCATTTAACTTATGATTTATAAAATGCTTGCATAAAATCAAAAAAATTATCTGTACACACATTTGATGTGTACTTATTGCCAGAGCACTTGCGACACTTAGTTTTGTTTTGTTTTTTTTTTTAAAACACTTTTCTCCCTTAGCCTTTCTTCTATAACCTATTTTATAAATGCACGTGTCTGGTACTATAGCATTATTGATGCCAATATTGCATAGATTATCAGTGTCTCACTGAATTATTCAGAGGGTTAGTTAGCATATCTTGTTTTCCTTCCCATTGGATCCAGTCCATAAAACAAAGCACAGGACTTTGGAGAGGAAATCTATCTCTAGTCTGAGCATCTGGATTCTGAACTTGGCACACCAACCGTAACTTTAGAATTTCCTGGTTCTTACTGATGTAGATGATTTGTACAATCGACCTCAATGTTCATTCTTCCCTATTCTTAGTTCTCCTTCCGGGGCGTATAGAAATACCACTTAGGAAGATATTGAGGTAAAAGACATATTTGATGTATATTTTAATAAACAGAATTGGGATTGCTTTTCTTTAGAATTCTTTTGACTGAGTACATTTTGAAATCTACTCCTTTTATCCAAACATAGGGTAGAATCAGGCACCTGAATATATGTGAAACAGATGTAGCTCTAACATTATGATTATTATAATCCTTGGTAGTAAAAAACATAATAAGTATGGCCTGGCACCAATGGGTTATATACCTTTAATCCTAGCTGCTCAGGAGGCTGGATTCAAGGACTGCCTGGGCAGGAAAGTCTGTGAGAGTCTTATCTCCAATTAACCAGAAAAACCCTGGAGTAGAGCTATGGGCCAAATGGTAGAGTGCTAGCTTTGGGCAAAAATTTTCAGGGACAGAGCTCAGGCCTTGAGTTCAAGCCCCAGGACTAACACACACACACACACACACACACACACACACACACACACACACCCCCAAAGATGATACTTGGTATTTCTAAAATGTGCAGGTTGGCTCCAGTTAGAATGCTCATGCACAGTTGATGCTAATGTTTAATTTGGATTATTTCTCCCTATTATCATAACCTTTGTTTATCTTCTCTGTTCCCTGATCATGAATATTTACAACACTATATATTTGTATAATTCTATGGTGAGAGTTTTCCATTCTAGTCAGAGATCCTTATGTTTCAAAGCATTGTCTCTATTTTCAAATACATTCCATTTAGACTCATAACTTAAAATGCAGGGCAACTGGGAAAAGAGAAGGAAAAGCATGCTTTGGAATATTCCACTCACATGTAACTACAAGTATATATTACTGGCTGACTCCAAAACATTTTAAAATGGATTTTTCCCCTTTAATTGTGTTGCATAAATGTTTTAAGCTACATTTACCCATTGTTTTCATTTTGAATGCTTTTATCAGGGTAATTTCCTGTACCTTGACCTAAAATATAGGACATAGTTCTTACTTTTTTGAACTTTAAGGATAATGATAAGAACAAACTTGCTTATAAAATTACCAACACAGTGACACTCAATTCTCTAGTTATCCCACAATTAATATTAGTTAGATATTTCAATATTAATAAATTAATCTTAAGCACTGCTTCAAGGGTTCATAGTGAGGGGGCATACTGACCTTCTAGATCAAAAGTTCAGTATTAAGATAAGTCTAACATATTAAATAGATTCTTTCTGTAGAGATTTGGAATGTAGTACTTATTGTTATACCATCATTTCATAAGTCTAAGGCAAATTCTTTATGAGTTTCATAAATAGATAATTAGTATCTCGAAGCTTCTCTGTATATAGTTTAGAAAGTACATTGGGGAAAATTACGAGAAATTAGAGCCTCATAAAAATATCCAGGATTGATATTATCTTAAGACTGCTTCTTGTAATAATAATAATGCTAATATGTCTGAATAATTGTATCCTGAATGCTTAGAGCAGGGTTCCAATGGCCCCGGGAGCTGCTTCATCATAACTAGTTCTGTGGACACATACCAATTTTTGCACACATATTAAGGCAATATTTGTAGTTATGAATACATATATACTTCATAATATAAAGTTATGTATCTGTAGTTCTTAAGTGCATCTTATCATCTACATTATGTATTTATGTACATATATCATTTATTTCATCTATTATCTGTTAATGCACTTATTTATTCTTTGTTCTGGTACTAGGGCTTGTATTCAGAATCTCTTAGTCTTGTTTAGTTTTCTCTGTTCAAGGCTGATGGTTTACCACGTGAACCATACTTCCACATCCTTTTTTCTCTTTCATCATTATTGTTATTTTGGGTAAACTGGACAAGAATGAGGACTTTTCTACTCAGGCTGGCTTCTAACGTTTGATCTTGGCCTCCTGAGTAGCTAGGATTACAGGTATGAGTCAGTGATGTTAGGCTGTTTCTGTGTTTTATGTATTATGCTCCTTAGATCTGAACTATTACTCAAATATAAATGAGTATATGTATACATGTACCCATACAGCAATACACAGGCATACCCACACACACACACATACACACATACACACACACACACACACACCCGTTAAAACTAAGTCAAGGACCTAAATGCTTTTCAGAAAATTGAATACAAATGGTTTGAAATGCAACCTCTTTTCAGTTGAAAGATCTGGTGGACCATAAAAACCCACTGTATTCAAGTTTCAACATTTTGGGGTCAAATCTAAAAGTTAAAAACAAATGCATTTATTGTTTTATGGTTCAGATCTTGGATGCAAAAATCAAGGGTAAAATAAAAAGATCAAGGCTTTATTTTCTTTATAGACCACAAATGTTAAGGGAGAATTTTGAATTTTAATTTATCTATGGACATTTTTTGATGGGGAACACACTGCTGAAGTTCCTTATTTGCCAAGAATACAATGCCCTTTTCTTTAAAACAAAATAAATCTAGCAAGTTTCCATAGTCTGTAATTTCTAAAATTTGTTTCCTGATGGATGAACTGCTTCTTCATGTTGCAGGATTCTCTGCAAAGTATTGGGCTATTTATGTTGGTTTTTCGGTGCTAATTGTAATCATTTGTTCATTTATCATTCTGAATTAAATTTATAATCAGTTTCATTTTCATAATTCAAGTAGAAGTTGTATATTTATTGCTTCCCTTACTAACACATCCCAGCACCCATTTCCCTCTTTTAGAAGGGATTGCTCTGCCATTTACGATTAGGCTATAAAATCTCAGTATCGTATTCTTTGCTTGCTGCAGTTTAGCTGTTGACTTAAGGAGGCCGCAGCCCTGTAGGCCCAGGATTCAGACCTATGGTTTAATGACTCAGATTGCTATAGATTTATGTAGCCTTTTATAACTAGGCAAAATGTCGTGGGTATATCTAACATCTTTGGATCTTAGATATGAAAAAGTCTCATGTTTTCAGAGAACTAATTTTTTAAAATCTTTTCTCCTCAGTGTTATTTGTAGTGTTTTTTATAATGTTTTAAATAATAATCACATGTGAGTTTGGGTTTCAAGAGAGCAGGGAGCTCAAAGTGTGTTGCTGGGCTTTCTTTGACAATGTCTTTGAAAAGCCATTGAAAGTAACTAGATTCTTTAATATTCCCTCATCCACCCACAAACATAGAATCATATTTGATACTTTCTATATTGATGTATATGAAACTTGATTTCCCAAACCTGTGGTATTTATGACAAGGAATGATGCTGGTGTTGATCTTGTTTTATTGGATCTTAATATTTTTCTCCTGCTTCTAGGTTGACCTTTGTCCTCAATATTTATCCGTGATTTTTTTCTGATTCTAATGTTTATTAACATGACAATGGTCTTAAGTTGTAAGTATTAAAGGCCACAACTCATACTGAGTGGAATAACTACTTTTCTGAAGATCTACATAACCAGTGCTTACTCAAGAAATTCTGTGTCAATAAACCAGTGCCTAAAAGTTATCTTCTGAATATTTTTCCTACATATCATCCTATAGAAATAGGACAGTAAGTAGAGACAATGAAATTACAGGAAAAGAGTAATATGGCTTTATTTTTTTAAGCGTAAAAATGAGAGAGACAGACAAAGACAGAAAGAGAGGCATAGAAAGAGAAATGGAGAGATAAATGGAAAGAGGGAAATAGAGGGGATAAGGATTGGAGTGAGATGGAGAGAGAGAATGGAGAGAAAGAAAATTGGTGAGATCCAAGAAAAAGGCAAAAGTTAACTCCTGTATCCATAGAATACTGAGGAGGAGTGGGGCAGAAAAGGAGGAGGAAAGAAAGGTGGCAAGGAGAGAAAAGAAATAAGAAAAAGTGAGAGAGGCGAGAGGGGAAAGAGAAAAATAAAGAGAAATTGACAGATTGAGAAAAAGAAAGGGAGAGAAAAGGGGAGAGAGGAGAGAAGGAAGAGAGGACAGAGAGGAAAATTCAAACTAGGAGAAAAAAGAGAGAGAAGACAGAGAAGGCAGGAAGAGAGAGAAAGATTAAGATAGAGAGATAAGAGAGACAGTGATTGAGAGAGAAGAAAGGGAGAAAGGAGGGAAGAGAAAAGAGAGTTATGAGAAAGGAACAAGAGAAAGAGGGGAGAAGAGAGGAAAAAAGAGAAAGAAAGAGGGAGAGAGGACAGAGACAAAGAAGATAGAGGAGGGAGAGAGAAAAGACTTAGGGAAATGGGAAAGAGGGGAGAGAAGAGAGAAAGAGAGAAGTTGAGCAATGAGATAGAGTGTTCTATAAGACCCTTGGTAAAGCATGAGTATCATTCTCAAAGATGGAATTTGGAAACTGAAGTATCTGAAATTAACTTCAGCAATATTGGAGCTATTTATTTATAACCAATTCATATTACTCTATAGGCATTCCCTAGCACCAGAATTAAACATTTTTGTTAGAATAATCCATAAAAATGCCAGTGGCATTGTGGGGTTATGAATAAAACACTTCTTCTCTGCCTATTTTTACTAACTTCCTGTCCAATGGCTTACTAAAACCACCAGGGGAGACATTTTCTACATAAGCATAAGAATTTTTACAATCATTTAAAAAATGAGAATTTAATTATTTTTTTAACTTAGAAAGTGTCATCGATTCTTAGGGGATAAAAGATATTTCCTAACTATAGCCCAATTATGGAACGGACAGTTATATTTGGAGACTTTCGTGTATAATTTTACTATTAACAATTCTTTGAAGGAGTGCTTTTTAAAAACTTAGTATATGTGTAATAAAAGTTGAGAGGGTTATTTTTCTCAAAGGCCATTACTTAGCCAGATGCTTCATAGGAATTAAAAAGTATTTATTGGTTCTGACAAGAAATGTAAAAGTAGACTTAGTGCCCCCATGACTAATGTGACACATCGGAACGTTTTATTACTCTTCTCTGAAAATTCATGTCAGCCTCAATAAATTACTGATGTTATAAATGTTTGGCTAATAATACAGTGTGTGGCATGGTTCATGTTAGACCAGGAGGATCTGTGATAGCAACAGAAAAAGAATAAGCGTAGGCAATATGTGTCTCCGGCAATACTTGTCTCCTCTTTGCTTTCATATTTTAGCATTTTGATGGTGGAGTAAATAACAAGTTGTAGGTCATTGGTTCCCTAGATTGTAAACATCTTCTCAGATCAAAAGTTACCAGGAAAAATGAGTGTCTGTAGTTTAGTTTTTATTTTTCTTCTGTGCTGACTGTGGGGATTGAATTCAGGGTCTAGACATGGTCCCTGAGTGTTATTGTTTTGCTCAAGGAGAGTGCTTTACCATTTCAGCCACATGTTCACTTCTTGCTTTTTGTGGTTCATTGGAGATAAGAGCCTCATAAACTTTCCTGCTCAGGCTGGCCTTGAACTGGAACCCTCAGTTCTCAGCCTCCTGAGTAGCTAGGATTACAGATATATATTTATATATGAGCCACAAGCTCTCAGCTAGTGCTATATTGTTATTCATGAAGGAAGTCCAACTGTGTAGCCATAAAGTGTGTTTAGACACACGGCATCATTAAACATAAGGGCTTGTCAGCATTTTGGGTGTTAATTCTGTCTTCGGAATGTGTCTGATTTTCCTTCCCCTTCAATTCCCAGGTATCAACTCTCAACTGGCTTATAGCATTGCTTCGGGCGATAGCCTCGGGCAGTTCGCAGTGGACAAGGACGGGGCGTTGAAAGTCCTGAAAGCCCTGGACAGAGAAAGTCAGTCTTTCTACAACTTGGTGGTGCAGGCGCATGACCTGCCCACGCCCCCGGCCCCCAGGTTCACCAGCACTGCACACGTCTCCATCATTCTGCTGGACGTGAACGACAACCCGCCGGCGTTCCTCTCGCCGAAGCTGGCGTACGTCCCGGAGAACACCCCCCTGGACACCGTGGTGTTCACAGCGCAGGCCGCAGACCCGGACAGCGGCCCCAACAGTTACATCGAGTATGCGCTGCTGCATCCCGCGGGAAGGCCATTCAGCATCGGGACCATCGACGGCCAGGTGCGGCTGGCCGCGGAGCTGGACCGAGAGGCCGCCTCGAACTACACGCTGACCGTGGTGGCCACAGACAAAGGGCAGCCGCCGCAGTCCGCATCCACTGAGGTGGCGGTCACCGTGCTGGACGTGAACGACAACAGCCCGGCGTTCGTGCGCGCGGCGCACGCGGTGGAGGTCAGCGAGGACACGCTCACGGGCACCGACATCCTGCAGGTCTTTGCCTCCGACGCCGACGAGGGCCCCAACGGGCAGGTGCGCTACAGCATCGTGGATGGGAATGCCCACCAGGACTTCCGCATCGACTCGGTCACCGGTGCCATCACAGTGGCCAGGCCCCTGGACAGAGAGCGGATCCCCGTGTACCTCCTGACCGTCCAGGCCACGGATCGGGGCAGCACCCCCCGATCGGACACCTCCACCGTCAGGGTGGTGTTACTGGACGTTAATGACTTCGTTCCCACATTCGAGCTGTCTCCTTACTCCGTCCATGTCCCCGAAAATCTGGGGACACTTCCCAGAACCATTCTTCAGGTGAGTGGTAGGGTAGCTCCTGGACAAACTCCTTCTCCTCACGCGCTCCTGGATAATGTGAATACAGCTCATCTCACAAAGGGCAGTCTGCTATCATGACATCTAAAGCATACTGATTTTATAGATTAAACATCGCATTTCAGCTGTGTTCCTTTGTGTGCAATTGTATTATGTGTACTTATGCCTGTGTGTATTGTAAACTTTTGTTTCACCGTGGAAATGATCTCTGCATTCTATTTACATAAAATGATGTCAGGGTTTGAAAAAATGGTCATAAGTATTGCCCATAAATATTTATTTTGTGAGCAATCTCTCCCTGAAACTGCTATGAAAATGCAGTTTTCATGAAACTTCCAGAAAGACTGCACATCTGTTTTCTGCAAATTTTTTGTGTACATCTGTGTGCATGGCACATCCTCTCTTTTTTTTTTTTTTTGGCATTTTTATTTTGCGATTTAAGGGATATTTTGGAAATTGTGTTAAGACATTTCATCCTCATCATCTTTTGGATGTTGTATTTCATTTCACGGTAGGCCTCAGAACTTGTTTACTCTCATCCATCATGCGTATCATGCTGTTTTACAGGTGGTGGCAACAGATCATGACCAGGGACAAAACAGCAAACTCTCCTATGTTCTGTGTGGCGGTAACGAAGAGCAGGCCTTCACACTTTCAGCCAGTGGAGAACTAAGAGTGACCCAGAGCTTGGATAGGGAGACAAAGGAACATTTTGTTTTGTTAATTTCAGCTACAGATTCAGGTAAGTGTAAGTGCATTACAACTTTGTTAAGTGGTTTGAATAATTCCTTTGCTACTCTATGAAAATATTATTATTATTATTTCTACTATTACTACTATTATTTTTATTGGTACAAGTCCTGGGACCTGAACTCAGGGCCTAAAAGTTTTCTTTGAGATTTTTTGTCTTTTGTTTTGCTTTTTGTCCCTTAAGGTTAACTTTGTAGGTCTTGAGCCACACCTTCACTTCCAACTTTTTGGTGATTATTTGGAGATAAAAGTCTTGCAAGCTTCCCTGTCCTGGCTTGCTTCTAACCAAGATCCTCACATAAGCCTCCTGAGTAGCTGGGATTATAGGAGTGAGCCACCAGAGCCAGGCCAACTTCTGTATTATTAAATGAGCAATTTGTTGGGTTTTATTAAAAGCCTACATCTCAGTAGGTGAGTTAGTAGCATGTAGCTCCACAGTTAGTAGCATGTAAATTGTCTGGTGAATTGTATGTGTAAGTGGTGAGAGCTTCAATGCATCACAAGCAAAACTCTGTCTCTGTAAAAGAGACAGGGTCTGGCCCTGTGCATCACCAGAGAGCCCAGTGCTCGAGCACCTGAGTCGGGAGACATCTGAGATGCTGGAGCTCTGAAGACATCTAGATGGTGCATGTGGACAGGTTACTGAGACAAGATCGTGGGAACAGTTTTTGCATCACTAATCCTCTAGACTCCGCAGCATTGAACTAGCTTTGCTGGAAGCCCCATGGAGTATTGTAGAGGGGTTTGGAAGTGTCATTCAGGGCCTTAATGCAGTAGGGCACACAGCATTTTGGTAATCCTGGGAAACTTGCCCCAGAGCACAAACCTTTACAGAGTTTTTCCAAATTTCTCTGGAAGGGGGCTACAGTTTGAAAACCACCCGTAGGGAAGTGCTGGCCCAGAAGGCTGGAGATCACTCACCCCAGGTGACCCAGTCAGCCAGGAGAAGCTATCGGGAAAATGAGCTGACTATTTTAACAGTAGTGAGACTCCTGTACGATGACACTGTTATGGTTCAATTAATTCCTATGAACATGTTCGTCATCAGCAATAACCACATTGTGCAAGGGAAGTTTATACTTTTGCTCTCCAGTTTGAAACTCATCAGTTCAATCCTATTTTTTTTTATGAATAAAGTCCTTGACACCAGACTTAAAATCATCCATATGCATTGCTGTGATTTTCCAGTAAAATTGGTAGATGACATGAGAAAATGCAGAAAAATATGGCAGCTTTTAGATCCCAGATGCCATGTTTCTCTCAAAGCCATGGTATTCTGAGGACCAGGAAAATGTCAAAGCATTCTTAAGAAAAACATGGACAGTTTTATTTCTTTTCTCATAAATCACCTTTCTTTTGCTCTTTTTTTTTTTTTAATAATCCTTATCGGCTGGCAGCCCAGAGATAGGCCAACTCTGGCAATATGGTAGGAATTGAAGCTGTAACTTTTTCATCATAGAGAGCTCTAAATCTTTGCATTTTCCCATTGGAGGAAACATTAGCATTCTATTCTCACCATATTTTTATTTACTGACATGCAGAAACTCTAGCACATCTGGAAACTGTAAGCACTTCTGTCTGCTTCTGAAAATAAGCCACACTCACCCTATCACATGTATGTGAGACTGACTGCATGTCACATTACTCAAAAACTAAACCAGAGTAGACTGCAATCATTATAGCTCATGTTTTTGCCCTACAGGATTCAATGGCTAAACAGACTAACAAACTCAGTTAAAGATGATATTTTGTTAACTTTAACAAAAAAGATGGCTATTCTGCCTGTGCTATATGTTGCTGATACAAATAGTATGCTTGCCTATAGAACTAACATGTCGTTCTGGAAACGTGTTCTGTGCCGTGTAAAACTTCTCAGGTGGCCAGTGTACCTGCCTGGGAATGCACTTCAACTTATGGCTTCCATTTGAATGGAGATCCCCTAAGTCTCATTCAATATTACATTCCCAGAAACACCCAGAATAGAAGCTGTGACAAAATCTTTATATTTGTTGATGTTTGTTGATCTCATGATATTATATGATAAATGATGACAATTTGTGGTTAACCAACTTGTTATACTAATTTTAATTTTGTATTTTATATTTCATATTTATTTATTTACTTTTTACTTATTTTGTTGTTTGTGCTGGTTCTGGGGCTTGGACTCAATATGTAGGTACTGTCTAAGCTTTTGTGCTTGAGGCTAGTGCTTTACCACTTTGAGCCACAGCACCATTTCTGGTTCTTTAATAGTTAATTGGAGATAAGTGTCCCATGAACTTTGCTGCCTGGGCTGGTTTTGAACCACAAGCCTCAGATCTCAGCCTCCTGAGTAACTAGGATTACAGGCATGAGCCACCAACGCCACCTTATATTTTATTTAGTATTTTATATTTAATTAAATTTTACATTTTATTTTATTTTTTGTCTTTTCTTTTTTGGTACTGGGGATCGAACCTAGGACGTTGCACTTGCTAGGCAAGCGCTTTGCCACTGAGCTACATCCCAGCCCTAAATTTTACATTTTATATTTGTATTTTATATTTTATTTTAATTTTGTACTTTGTATTTTATTTTGTTGTACTTTTATTTTTATTATACTTTTTATTTTACTTTACATTTTATTTATTTTATATTTAGTGATGATACTAGGGCTTGACCTCAGGTCTGGGACGCTACTCCTTAGCTTCTGTTCTCAAGGCTGGCACTCTACCACTTGAGCCACAGCTTTGACCTTCTGCTGGTTAACTGCAGATTAAGAATTTTACAGACTTTTCTGCTGCAGCTGGTTTTGAACCATGATCCTCAGATCTCAACTTTCTGAGTAGCTAGGGTTACAGGTGTAGCTATTTTGGTGCTTGTCTTCTTGTTAAATATGCAACAGCCATTCATGCTTTGGCATCACACCTGCATTTATTTTATTGCAATATATCTTTTACTTGCAAATTTCGTGAAGGACTTTAAGAAAGGAGAAATGAAAATCTTTTTTTCCTTCTTAATTCATGACTGAAATCATGGTTGGAATTGCTACATTGGTTGTGGACATTAAAACTGACTCCTATCTTGAAAAACAGCACCAACATTTGGGCCTCTGTGAGTTCAGTGTTATGTGGTAAATTTCAATCAGATGTAAGGATCCACTGAAGCATTTTATGGCTTTAATTTAGTTCCAAGTGCTTAACTTACTGCCCCAGCCTCATTCTCGTGACAGCCTGAGCACACTGGCTCTTATTCAATTTTGTTATCTGTTAGACATTTCTGCATAGGTTTTATGTCTACTCTAGGCTTTGCTGTTTTATTTTTTTATTTTGTATTATCTTTATGTAGTTGTACAAAAAATTTCAATTCACTATGTCAATTTATGAGTACAGTGCACCTTTTAAATTAGGATAATGTCTGCCTAAGCAGAAACAATGTGCTTTTGAAAAGTTAGACCGTCTGAAATTCTTTTAAACCTGGGCATCCTAAAGAAAAAAAGACGTATGGACTTTCTTATCTCTGAAGTACCACATCTCTGTCTTAGCACTGATGTACAGGAGTTGGTTTATATTAACGTATATCACTCTTCACATCAACTTAGTATGAAAAGTTTGCTTATTTTAAATTTGGTTATGGAAATTGGGAGTTTCCATAAACTGTGTAGATAGATATGCATTTAGGAGAGCCACTTTATCCAAGTCTTTTTTCTTTTCTCTTTCTTTTGTCTTTTCCCTTCCTCCCTCCCTCCCTCCCTTCTTCCCTCCCTCCCTCCCTCCCTCCCTCTCTCCCTCCTTCCTTCCTTTCTTCCTTCCTTCTTTCCTTTTCTTTTTTCTTTTTTGATCTATTACTGGGGCTTGAATTTAGGGCCTGTGAACTATTCCTGAGCTTTTTTTGCTCAAGTCTAGCACTTTACCCCTTGAGCCACAGCTCCACTTCTCGTTTTTTAGTGGTTAATTGGAGGTAAGAATTTCATGGATTTTCCTTCCTGGGCTGGCTTTGAACTTCAGAATCTTCAGATCTCAGTCTCTTGATTAACTAAGATTAGAGGTGTGAATCACTGACACCTGGCTTGTAGATTTCTTTTGCAACTTAGGTTGATCTGTACCCTGACTGGGAAACCAAAGCCTATGCTATGTAGATATCCCCCACTCCACTTTCAGGGACCTGTGTTATATGATATTACAATTCAACATACAGCACGGAGGTCTTTTTTTGTTTGTTGGTTTCTTTCTTTTTATTTTAAATTAATTTTTATTGTAAGAGTTTTGTACAGAAGGGTTATAGTTACATTGGTCAAGTATGAATGAATACATTTCATTTTGAACAGTGTCCTTTCTTTGTTTCTCCTAATTTTTCCCTCTCAGTCCTCCTGCCCCTCCAAGTTGTGTAGTTCAACATAGTGTCTATGAGTATAACTTCTGAATTAGTTTGCCCTTTGTCCCACTATTTCTGTGCTTCCCTTTACCCTCCCCCAAACAAATAAACTTATTTATTTATTTATTTACTTTTGGTCATGGGGCTTGAACTCAGGGCCTAGGACCTGTCCCTGAGTTTTTTTTTTGCTCAATGCTAATACCCGACCACTTTGAGCCACAGCACCGCTTTTGTATGGAGGTCTTTTTAAACAAAGTATTATACAAAAAGTTCTGAGTCAAAGAAATATCATTTAAAATGATCATTACTAGCTAAATGCCTGTGGCTCACATCAGTCATCCTGGCTAATCTGGAGCCTGAGATCTGAGGATAGCAGTTCAAAGCCAGCCCCGGCAGAAATGTCTGTGAGACTCTTATATCCAAATAACCATCAAAGAGCTGAAAATGGAGCCATGTCTCAAGTGATAAAGCACCAGCTTTCAGTGAAAAGTCCAAGGAAGAATGTGAATCCCTAAGACCTAACTCCAGTACTGTCTAAAAAACAAAGAAACAAGCAAACAAACAAAAAAAAAAGCAAAACCAAAAACCAAACCATGATCTTTACCAGAAGACTTCTTGGAGCTGAGCCAATCCATTTCC